TCTGGAACTGTACTTTGCTGGGTTTTATGAACAAAGAGCCTAGTGTGTATCTCTCTGCTAGCTGGAGCCAGAATAAAGCATGGGTGCCTTCAGATATATTGGACATAGAGCAGGGTATCCAGGGCAGCAGAAAGGATGTGTCCGGCCTGGCATGGGCCTCAGATTTATGGTGTAGATGTTTCTCTGCATTTATGGGACAAAGATGAAAAGATTCCCTTGTTCTGCTTTTCTCACAAACACTCTCCACCCTGAAAGTACCCCTCCACTCCCATTCCTTCTCTTTTTTAGCTCTATCTTGCATGTCTGTCGGCTTGGTCGGGCAGTGGGTCTCACTGGGGTGAAAGGGAATAGTACCAGTGTGGCGGAAGCAGAGAGAAGGTGTGGAGCCACTCGGGCCTTTGCAGAATATGTCATTTCAAAGTAGCTGGGAGAGTGGAGATCTCCTTGGAGATCGCTTCTGGCTCAGCCCTAAAAAAGGTAAGAGGATCTAATATGGAAGGACAGGGGAGGCAAAATTCAATGTGTCACAATTTGCACTCAGAGGAACTGATTAGAGACTTGAATGCAACTTGTGCAACCCCCTTAGCTCCTAAATGGTGTTTTGCATCTTTAGCATGCTGAGTCTGTTCCCTGGCTGCTGTTTAGCTGAGCTGGCATACAACTCTTTGCTTGGGAAAGAACAAAACTAGTAGAGAGCTGGTTCACAGGTTCTGTCCAGATCTCACTGCTGGAACTTGTTTACAGAACAAAGTGTTATTGTATTCTGTCTGTGGAATTTACCACAGAGATCTGGTTCCATTTATGTTTTATGTTAAAAGAGGGAAAATGTGTTTAGTGTTGTGTGCAATATTCTGGACAAACACACGTATTTCAATGAGTTTTATATAATTGATTCAAAACGCTGAAGCCAGTTAAGTTTAACTGTTGCGAAAGTCTCTGTTTAACTCCTCGTCAGCAGGCTACTGTCAAGTTTGTAGACTGGAAGGTTTGTGACATGGCTAGGTGTCCTCTGCGAAACACATGGCAGGCAGATTGTTAGAAAGATTAAAGAAAACAAAACAAAACAAAAAAGCTGAAGTCCTCCAGCTCGTTCCGTGATGCTGTTGTTTTCCCTGACTTCATTTCTTTCCTCATTGAACAAGGAAGACATCGATGTGATCTATGACTTGTGGAGTCGACATCAACAAAGACTTCTATTCAGTTCTTACTTCTAGCTCAGGTCATGTTTTATGAAGCTAGTTAAGAAAAGTATAAATCTGAGTGTTTTCTACTGACGATAACATAGCCCTTTTGTTGATTCAGAGGGATAAATTCATCCTTACAACAGTGTTATGAATGTAGGGCTGCAGCTATTGAGTATTTTAATAATCTATCAAGTCCTCCATCGATTAATGGAATATTCTACTTGATGACATTTCAAATGAAACAAGATTGGTTTGCTGCTAAAAATATGAAAATAAAACAACTAAATAATAATAATAATTATAATGATAATGTGTATTGAATTTATGTTGTCTAGTTCTTTCCCAGCTGACCACATATTTTAGTTTAGGTTTGTATTAATTTTACTCATCCAGGACAAAATAGCATAACTAAATATGTGATCAGTAGAATTATTTCATTAACATGTTCAGTAGTAAGCTATTGGAAATGCTAATAACATTTCATTCTGGAAACAATGTAATTATGACATATCTATTATATTATGTATGGGTTGGCAACATAATCTAATCTGTTCAGATCTAATCCAATCTAATTCAAAGACAGAAGTGTTTGTGCTACATGTTACAATGGCTTGCTATAGCCGTGCTGCGGTGTGCGGAGCAGACGCGAGTTGCAGTCTCCATGTATCTGCTGCAGCTCTGCTCCATTCTAGCCCTGCAGCTGCAGCTCTGCTCCATTCTAGCCCTGCAGCTGCAGCTCTGCTCCATTCTAGCCCTGCAGCTGCAGCTTTGCTCCATTCTAGCCCTGCAGCTGCAGACATCCACAAATAAACAGGGTAGTGGGGATTGTTCTTCTGCTTGTAGAGTTTAGTCATTCACAACCATCGTGTTTTTTTCTGAACCCCACACAATCATGTACGTGCTATACGCTAACATTAGCATTATCCAGTGCCCGTAGGCTAACTCTTGATCCCAATGTTTGGACCAGTTCTGCCTTTTACCATGGTTTGTGTCTTCGCTGGTTCCTCTTGTTTCCTCCACAGCAGCTAGATACCACCTTGTGCACCAGTGAAATATGTTCAGACTGTGGTGTGCACATTTAATGAAGCTTATAATCAGTAAAAAATGATTTGATGAATTTAACGAATCGAACCAGTGGGTGATTCATTTCAGCCCTAGATGAATGCCAGACACCCTTCTTACCTCCCCCGCAACACACAGCGCTGCTTTATTTGTAGTCAATGTGAAGATAATCAGTTCTATAGATTTACTTTAAATATTTAAAACCTACAGTTTAAATAGTTTATTTTTTCAGCTGGAAATGAAACTTGTGGTTCTTCTGAATAAAATGGTATTGATGTCCACCAGATCCTTTTCAGCCTCACATGCTCAGTTTAACGGTTAGGACTGAGCAGGCTGTGACCAGAACATCAACAGCTGTTTTGGGTAATAACTGTGGATATTCACACCTCTACAGTGCTTCACTGAATATGGGTGACTATAAAACATTTGTGTGCACCAAGAGCTTTTTGGTAAACACTTATGTCAATGATCTCTTTTTAACAACTGCTGCTAAAGTCTATAAACTAAACTGTGACACCATAGCCTCCGTATAAAGCTGTTAACTATACCTCTGACTACGTGCGGTTCCTGGGCCAGGTGAAGGAGCTCTAACCTTCTTCAAGGTGTAAAGGCTTTTCTTTGGATAAAACTAACTTAGACCAAACTAAAGGACTTATTCACCTTCCAGCCAAGTTACAGAAACTTTGACACTTGTTCAAAAAGCTGTAAGAAACAGGTGACTGTGACTGAAGTGCAGCTCTGGCAACTCATTCCTGAGCTGTGAGACCTCAACAGAAAAAGATTGTCACCTTTAGTTTTAAAGTTGGAACAAGTCACGACCATTGAGACCCGCCGTGTTAGAGGGTCTCAGATTGCATTCAGGTTCATCACAGGACAGATTTATATTCTAACGGTTTCCCTCTTTTCTTTTGTTAAATAATACATCTGGGTGTAGTTTTGCTCAGATAATGTTAACTTTTTTATTGTTTGAGCAAAAACTAAACAATCTAAATAAATTAAAGACTAGTTTAAGATTATTGCTCTACATGAATGGTTGCATGTTTTACTTTATACATTATTTATTATGTCAGTGACAAAAATATCATTTAATTGAGGAGGATGAGGAGATTGTGCTGACCTTTGCTTTTACAGGAAGAGACAGGAGTTGCCTGGGTCTGATTTCAATATGGAGGACAAGTGTGTAACATCAATAAACCCTCCAACCACTGGACCAGTCTGAGCCAGTCTCCAGCTACCAGCGACCATCAGCTGGTGGTGACAGGTCTATTCTGGGACTTGGGGAGGTCCAACAGAACAGAAATAGATTCTTAAGCAGAAATTTACTCCAATAACCATCTCTACTTTTATCTGATTCAGTCAAATACACCGTTCTGACTTCACAGCTGTTGTATCAGTTATAGTTAGTATAAAGTAACCGTTCGGATATGGTTCAGTGGCCCTGAGTGGGATTATTGGAGTTTAAATGTTGATTACAACTGCATTATTACACAGTTAAAACTGTAGAAATAAACACGAGCTTTTTTAGAAAATATCTGCACACGACCCAGGAATTTGATGACTCAGCACAACTGTATTAATGTTGCTCTGAAGGCTTAACTATAATGCATTCAGACATTAAATGCGTTCAATCTCCTTTCAGCTGTCAGATAACAGCTAATTAATAAGGCACACACTTTAAACCAGGCAACTAAAGGTTATTTCTGTGTAACAGTTTTAGTTCATTTTAAATGTGCCGTGTTTGTTTTTAGAAAGCTGTTCAAAGATCAATTCAATGGGCCGACCACTTTGTTCAGGCTCCCATGTAGACTTAGAATCTGATGGTAGCAGAAAATGGTATAACACTGGCTTGCGACACACACACACACACACACACACACACACACACACACACACACACACACACACACACACACACACACACACAGGTCTGCTGAACTATAAAGGTCAGCATTTCCAGAAACAACTCTGATCCAAATCTACTCCCACTCACTTTGCGCCCTATACCTCCAATGCAGCTAAAGACTATGTAAGTCATCTCAGGTTACTGAAAACCCATCAAGAATATGAACTCACATTTTGATAGTTATTTTAACAGAGCCATGATTCAGAAAAAGCAAACTGATCCGATGCATCATTCTGCTCTCTGGTTTTCCCAGAAAGTGAAACTGGTGTCTGCTTTTATAGTCTCTTTTCCTACGTTGTTTCACTTCCTCTGACAGTGATGTCTTATTCTCTAGACTGGCTCATTTACATTTTTCTTCAGATTGCATTATATGTTTATTTTAAACCAAATACGCACCTCAGTTTAACAGGGCTGTGTTATCTGAAACCAGAAATGGACATCTTTAAGTCTGTTCCATTTCACCTAGTTCTCCAGGGCAAAACGGGCCTGGGAATGTTTTCAATAGATATCCGTTTTACAGCTAAAATGAGTCAGAGGCCTTTTGTTTTAAGGTCTACCCAAAGCTCCGAGGCTGCTTTTTAAAATGATTAACAACCATGCTAATATTACTCACATTCACAGCTCTGCACACGTCTGTTCTGCAACAATACCAACACTTTGTCTTGATCATGTCAGGCATATCGCCACATGTCACTGACTAAACACTTGTTTCGTAATGCCTAATTCCTTTTCTGAACATTCCTGCCTTCATCTGCACTCCCATCCCTCCTCGCTGCCTTTACACACATTGCCTTAGGTCCTAATCCTACCTGCTGTAGGTGGAGTATTTCTGTACACACCTCGAGGTATCAACCTGTTGTCTGAAAAAAGATGTCTTAGACAACTAAAGGAACTCACTCTTATGCATTATTACTTATGTGTAATATGAAACCTAAACTAAAATTATTAACCTAATCTAATCCCTAGGGTCAACTTCAACACATTTCTCTTTTTGTATTTTATTCTGGGAATTACCCAGAAATGTTTTAGGCATACGTTAACGCAGCGTTGCTGCAGAAACTTTGTTCAGCTGTCTCCGTTTAGTCTACTGTTGACTGAAAAGCGGATATGTTTTTCTCTTAGGCTAGGCTGACTTCATTTGGCTGTTGCCATGGTGAACCAAAGAAAAACATTGAATGTGCAACGGGGAGGTTTAAAACACTCACTTGCTCCCTCCAACTATAATTTAGCACCTGAATGACTGTGTTTGAGCGGTCTGAGTACTCTGCTTCTCCTTGTATCCATGTCTTGTCTGTGGGACGAGCGAACACGTGCTCCCTTGGTTTAAACAGCAGTTGTCAGGCTCCCTTCCAGTCTTTCTGGCAGGGAGACGACACTGTCTCTGACACTGAAAGACGAACAGGAGACAGATGTACAGAAGAGAAAAGTGATCTAGAGATAGAAATCGAATATCATGTTCTATGGAGAGCAGAAAAGACCAGCTATGGAGCACGGTTCTTTATATAGGTGGTGAAAAACACATTCTTGGTGCAAAAGTAGAAGCTAAGGTTAGCTGTCTGAAGCAGCAGCTCCACTTTAGAGGGCTTTACAGCCTGTTGCATCACCTTAATCTTGGAGACCACATAACAGACACATATAAATAGAAAAAAAATTCAGTGTTAGCTTTGTGAGATCAGAGATGCAACATATCAGGCTGCCATATCATACCCTCTTAAAAGGTCTTTGCCTTTTAAGAGAATCTAAAACACTTATAGATTGTGTTTAATGATTTAAAGAGGGTGTGTGGTTACCTCAGAAAGCAACACCTTGAGTACAGAATAAACGATTTCTAGTGACACATGATCGATTTCTAGTGACACGTGATCCCTGAAAAGTGTCAAACTGAACAACTTGCACTCCTAAATCTACGTAAAGCTAATCGCCCCAGGAGAAGATAAGTACGCCAACTGCTTGTGTCCTGTTATCATCACCGATGTTAATGTAGGGCGTCCACTGGACTGTTGTTTGCCAGCCGCCTGTAGGGATCACTTAGTTGTGTGTGTGTGTGTGTGTGTGTGTGTGTGTGTGTGTGTGTGTGTGTGTGTGTGTGTGTGTGTGTGTGTGTGTGTGTGTGTGTGTGTGTGTGTGTGTGTGTGCTTGTTCATCTGTGTGTGTGTATGTGTCAAACTAGGGGTGTGTCTTTAATGTGTGGGTTGGTGTTTCTGTACAAGTTAGAGCAGCAGAACATGTGCTTCTGCACAATAGTTAGACTTTGCTCTGCCTTTATTTTCCTCAGTGAGATCATGTTTTTTTCTTCCTTCTTCCTCCTCTACGATTTCCTTCTGTGAGGTTTTTTATTTTTTTATTTCTTCGTCTTGGTTTTTTTTCCCTAAGAATAAGAGACACAAGGTAGGTGGAGCCGGACAGAGAAGTGTGCCACACTCCCCCCCCCTCTCTCTTTCTCGCACGCTGCCTTTCTTCCATTCTGTCATTGCCATTCTGGCTGAACAGACAGTGTTCATTCCCTGCCACACTAAACGCTGAGGGAACGACACACATCTGACTTTTGCTAAAAGGAATCTTCATTTTCTTCACGGAAACTAAAAGATCATCAAGATCACCAGGAAGAGACAGTAAGAAAACGTTTAATGCTCTTTGAATTTTTTTAAAACTGATTCTTAAAAACTTTTTTAAGAACCGAGAAGCACATGACAGCTGGTTTTACAGGATTCTTTAACACCTGTGACTCTTCAGTTTCACCGTGTTTGATGTTCATAACTTTTTAATCTTTTTTTTTTTTTTTGAGAAAGTTTACTGTCTTGAAGCACAATGGTTGCTGGAATGCTGATGCCCATGCGGGACCTAAAGGCCATCTATGAAGTCCTGTTTCGAGATGGTGTCATGGTGGCCAAGAAGGACAAAAGGCCACAAATAAAGCATGGTGATGTACAAAGTGTAAGCAACCTGCAAGTAATCCGTGCAATGGGCTCCCTTAAGTCCAGGGGTTATGTGAAGGAAACGTTTGCTTGGAGACATTTCTACTGGTACCTGACCAATGATGGCATTGTTTATCTGCGTGACTACCTCCACCTGCCCACTGAAATAGTTCCAGCCTCTTTGCAGAGGGTCAGGAAGCCAGCCGCCACTCTGGCTTTTGCCCATCGGGCTCCTCGGGTCCAATCTGTACAAGGTCCCACGTCTTATGTTCCCAAGCCAGGTCATAGCAGTGAAGCAGAGAGTCAGGAAGCACTTGCTGAGCGTCATGGTTACCGCCATAAGATGGTGGATTCTGGAGAACAAGATAAACACTCTGACAGGACCCCCAGGTTCAGGGGTCGTCCACTGACTTCAGAACCAATGAGATCAAAACCGTTACTGGAGGATGAGAAACAGCGTCAGCCTCTTTACAAGAGGGGATCAAGATTTGATCATGAAGTCAAATCCACAGAGGAGAATACTTGGAAGAAAGTGACTCATCAGGAGTCTAACGAAAGGCCTGTAGCATCACAGGAGAGAAAAGCTGTGGAGGTTGACAAGAGGAAGGTGCCAAGTTCTGTTTCTGTTCAAACAGAGGTTTTGAAGCAGGATGCATCCCAGACCACTCTGATCTCCTCCTCAGCAGCTGTAGCATTATCTGTTGCTGCTGCTGTGGCTGCAGGTGCTTCTACATCAAAGATAACAGGAAGCTCGACTACTGCTGAAACAAATAACGAGATAATGATGAAAGGAACGTCCGAGATTGCTGACCAAAACGTCTCCCAAAAGTTCAGTCAAGACATCGTACGCAGCTCAGCAGTAAAATTGCATCCTAAAAAGGAAACCAAAGAAATGAAAACAAAACCTGCAGAGGTTACTGTTCCAGGTAAAACGGCAAGTAAAATAGTTGAGCCCAAACTAGTCCCTTCAATGGAATCTACCCAGGAAGCATCCAAGGTTGTTAGCCAAGCCGCTGTCGCCCCTGTTGATACTGAGTTGTCTGATGTCAAAGAAGGACAGCTTAAGAAAGAAGAGGTTAATAAGGTTTCACTTAAGCCCCTGGAAACGAAGACAGAAACTTCAGTGAAATCTAAAATAGAGTGTGATGTCACAGAGAAAAATATGAAAAAAACACAGAAGAGCAGCAAAACTAAACATGCAAGCAGCATCAGTAAAGCAGTGGGTACCGCGGGTGCATCAGACAACACCTCCAACACTCAAGTCATCCAGGAACCATCAGTCCAGGCTAAAGTAACACCGCCAAGTGTGACTGGAAAACCTAAAAAAGATGAGGTGTCGCTTAAAATGACATCCGAGTCCTCAGCACCTGGAGTTAAATCTGCCCCTGACACTACAAGTGCCTCAGCACCTGAAGATCCAACGTTTCTGACACAGAAAGTTACAGGCATAGAGATGAGCACAAAACAAGAAGATACAAGTGTAAAAGAAGCCTTACATGCCAGTAAAGATGGATCACTGCTGCCAGAAGAGGTCCCTAAAGGATCAGAGAAGAGCCTTGAAGAACTACAAGATGTTGTCCAACTAACTCAGACTGCTGATGAGGTGATTAAAGCTACACAGCAGGCATCTGAAGGCACCTCCAAATCTAAAAGAAAGAAAAAGAAGTCTCCAGGGGAGACACCCAAGAGCCCTGATGCTGTGGAGTCACCTGAGTCAAAGAGAAAGGAGGAGGAACCCTCTGGAGATAAATTCCCAAAGGGAGTAGAAGACATCATCCCAGTTATTACGTCTGTGCCCTTAACTGGGTCTGCCTCCATGATGAAAGCAGGTAAAAACATGGCTGAATGTAAGGTAGATGCTAACAAGGAGCAAACATTAGAAATTCCTACAGAAACTAATGGGAAGGTAAAAGTAGAGGTCATTAGAGCATCTAACTCTGCACCAGAACAGGCATCACAGCCAATAGGTGCAGTGCTTGTTAAAGATGTGCGAGAACAGACGAATGTCAGCAACATCACAGTAGGATCAATACGCCCCCAAGGTGAAATAAAAACAACGTTGGCTGATGTGAGGCCGAGTAAATCAGAGGAAGTGTCTGCCCCCAAAAAGGAAGCACAAACAGCCCAGAAAATAAGTCAAGTTGAGCTCGTTCAGGCAGGTACTGAACCTAAACCTACAGAGGCTGATAAAACTGAGAAAAACAGCCAAAAAGTACAGAAGACACCCAAAACCAAACATGAGATCAGCACCAAACCTGTGAAGTTCACTGATGCATCAGATGTCACCTCCAACACTCAAGTCATCCAGGAACCATCAGTCCAGGCTAAAGTAACACCGCCAAGTGTGACTGGAAAACCTAAAAAGGATGGGGTGTCGCTTAAAATGACATCCAGGTCCTCAGCACCTGGAGTTAAATCTGCCCCTGACACTACAAGTGCCTCAGCACCTGAAGATCCTAAGTCTCTGGCACAGAAAGTTACAGGCATAGAGATGAGCACAAAACAAGAAGATACAAGTGTAAAAGAAGCCTTACATGCCAGTAAAGATGGACCACTGCTGCCAGATGAGGTCCCTAAAGGATCAGAGAAGAGCCTTGAAGAACTACAAGATGTTGTCCAACTAACTCAGACTGCTGATGAGGTGATTAAAGCTACACAGCAGGCATCTGAAGGCACCTCCAAATCTAAAAGAAAGAAAAAGAAGTCTCCAGGGGAGACACCCAAGAGCCCTGATGCTGTGGAGTCACCTGAGTCAAAGAGAAAGGAGGAGGAACCCTCTGGAGATAAATCCCCAAAGGGAGTAACTACAGAAAACATCATCCCAGTTATTACGTCTGTGCCCTTAACTGGGTCTGCCTCCATGATGAAAGCAGGTAAAAACATGGCTGAATGTAAGGTAGATGCTAACAAGCAGCAAACAATAGAAATTCCTACAGAAACTAATGGGAAGGTAAAAGTAGAGGTCCTTAGAGCATCTAACTCTGCACCAGAACAGGCATCACAGCCAATAGGTGAGGCAGCTGCAGTGCTTGTTAAAGATGTGCGAGAACAGACGAATGTCAGCAACATCACAGTAGGATCAATACGACCCGAGGCTGATTTAAAAACAATGCTTGCTCCTGTAGAACCAATTAAATCAGAGGAAGTAACCGTCTCCATAAAGGAAACACTTACAGGGCCAAAGACATGCCAAGTTGAGCTTGCTCAGTCAAGTGCTGAACCTGAAGGGAAGTCACCATCAGAATCTCAGATCACTGCTGAAACTAAATCTCAATCAAACACAGAGAAAGATGCAGAGGAGCCTTCAAAGGGGAAGAAGAAAAAGAAAGGTAAAAAACAAGTTACAACACTGCCTAAGGACACAGTTAAAGATCGCCCTGTCACGGCCTCTGAAGTGACAGAAACCAACGTTCCTTCAAAGATGACTCCTGAAAGAATGTGCTGTGAGGAAGTCAGGCAGGCAGCAGCTGTGTGCTCTGAGGCCCCAGCAGACAAAGGGGAGGTGGAGCTTTCACTGCTCACGGCAGAAAAAAACAAGCAGGAGGTCCCGAAACCAGAAACATCTTCCAATGTGAGGAAAGCACCCACAGAATCAGAGTCAGCAGCTCCAGCAGAGGCTGCTGAGGCGCGGGCCAGCCCTCTAGTCGAGCAGCAGGAGCCTCCCAGAGTTGCACAACATTCAGCCAGCCAGGCAGCAGAGTGCAGCACACAGGAGAGGCTGTCTTTCTGTGAGGCCTTAAAACACGAGGAAGACGAGAAGAGGAACTTGGAAGAGGACACACCCTCTGCTACTGCCACACCCGTAGCACAGCCTGACCAGTCTCATCTGCTGGACACCTGTGAGTCCAAACATCTCAGCACAAGCGAAGCCACCATGAGGAAGAAGATTGTGGTGGTGGAGGAGATAGTTGAAGTAAAGAAGATCCTCAGTCCTGAGGCTGCTGGAGAGCAGGCCCCCCCTCCACCTGTCCAAACTGAGGTGGAGGGAGAGGAGCTGGACATGGATGTTCTGGAGGAGATCGCTATAGAACGAGCTCTCTTATCAGGGACCAAGGTGCAAGGAGCCTCATCTGGGACTGAGTGGGACCACTCGCTGGCCGAACCCGAGGAGAAGACATGGCCTAACTTTTTTGAAGGTTTGTTTGAATCATTTTGACCTACTTCCTGTCCTGTCCTAATCTAGATTCCCACCTTCTGTGAACGTTTGGATGCTTTGGCAGGGATGACAGCTCTATTGTTGCTCCACACTGCTCTGAGTAAACTATTTTACTCTGTTGGTGGTTTTGACTTTTCCTCTAAAGGCTTGTTTGAATGGGTTGAGTCGAGTCGTTTGGGATGTGGAGACGCTCTCTCTTTAGCAATCGTTTCAATGTGGGAGTGAGAAGAGACTGTTGACATGTGGCTGTGATTTAGTCATGCATGTGTGTGTGTGTGTGTGTGTGTGTGTGTGTGTGTGTGTGTGTGTTGAAAGAGATGAAGCCTTGGTTCATGCGTTTTGACACACATTCCACACAGACGTTATCACTTAGACTGCACAAATGTGAAACTTAAAGGTTAAAAAAGGCTGTTTTAATTGCAACATTTATCACAAACTAATGTAAATTATTGTGCACACTGCTTCACAGTTGCTGTTTTCTTTTTAGGACCTTCTAGAACATTCTTTAAAAAGTGAAACCTTTTGGGTGGAGAATCCATTTCAGTTGGAGTTCAACTGCCTAATGCTGAGAGGAGTAATCTCTGGAGTTTCTCTGAGAGTTTGCCAAAGTGATTATGCACCAGCCATCAGTCCAACAAGGTGGGGCTGTTTGTTGGGATTCGGCCTCACTGGCTGTCTGCAGAGACGGAAGGTGTGGTTCTCGTGGGAGTATTGCTCCACTTGTATAGTTTTTTTGGCTCGGGTTTACATTCTGTGCTTGTTTTTCTTCTTTACTCAGTCTGTTATTTATTAGAGATAAGCACACCACTGCATACCATTAAGTAATGGCAAGTGAATAATATTAGAGGGATGGTGGCGGTGTGAGAACTCTACTGAAGGATACAGAAAACGTTCAGAACAGATCTAGCTCAATGATGTTCATTTTTTATTAAAGGATAAATTATTCCTTTTTAGCACTGACATATTTCGAAAATATGCTTTTATTTTACTTTTAAAAGTAGAAAAAGTAGTTTTATACTTGTCATTCTTTAGCTCTTAGAGTGATAGGGAGGAGCTGCATGGGCGTTGTCTACTGTGGGTGTCAGCTACAGACTGAGTCAGGAAGTTGGGATAGTTGTTCTCTGCTTCATGGGTGTGTTTGTTTGGATCCACACGTGACAGAGGATCTGCTTTCGATTAGCAGCCTGGCCTCTTGATTCAGTCTGTGTTACTCATCAGGAAAAAGTCGTTCTTTTGCAGCAAGAGAAAAACATGTTTCTCCATGCAAACATCATGAAGCCCATCATTCACTCAACACAGTTTAATTCATTGCTGCGTTTCAGAAACTGTAAAAAACGGTTGCGTTGACAACAGAAACATTAAAATGTGTGCGTGAGGCGAGAGTCTGATGTGTGACATTCACACCAAAGGACACAGCGGTGCACTACTGACATCTGCTGTCCATTAGCATCTCTGTCCAGAGGAGGTTTATTAAAACCTGCATCATTTAGAATGAAGCTGTATTCTTCTGCTCCTTTAGGATTTACCTTACGTTTAGTGTTAGAATTCCTCACTGATGGATAGATGTGGTTTTCCAACAGTGCCTTTTCAGCTGTTATCATCTACGTGTGGTATTCATGGTATGCTGGCTAATTAAACAGCTGTCAACCAACTCAGTTACTCCCGGGAATATTTCACAGTTCGGCACGTCCCCTTTTATCATGTTCAGTCATTTTCTGTTCCTGTGAATCAGAGATGTGAACAACAGGTAGTGAAAAGTGTTTTAATTAAAATCATTTGCCCCAAAAATGTGCCTATTTAAAGGGACTTTACAGCGTTTTGAATTTTTATGCTCGCGATTGCCCCCTCAGGCCAAAAGCGTAATGGCAGCTGCAAAAGTAGGCTCGTGCACGAGGCGCGCATGCTGTACGTGCACACTCCTAAACGAAAATAACAGCTGAGACCGTCAGCTCCGTGTGTGTGTGCCCCGGAGGACAGAGGACAGGAGAACTTGCAGCTAATTAATTAAATAATTTGGTTCTGTATCTTTCTCTTCAGCACAGCCGACAAAAGTTTAAGATGGGTCAGTCCTCCTGCATGCTCTTGAAAAATTATTCCAAAATGAAAGTTGAACCCACATCTTTTTTATTTGTGAATTCAATGCCGTTCGGTGAGTCTCAAATAAAAATGTGGGCATCTTACTGTAAAAAATATACCATTAATGTAAAACAGAAACTCTAAATAAACTAAATTCACATCCAGATTTGAACCCGGGTCTTCTGCACAAAAGTCCGACGTCTTACTAGGCGAGCTACCGTGCCAGTGACATCACTTGTATCTGTACCAGTTAAGAACGGTTCGGAGGGCGATGCCTGAGCGTGAACGCGCATGAAGCAGTCTGCTCGACCCAAGCAGCTCTCTTTTTCTGTGATTTTACAGAAAACTAGGCAATCACAGTAAAAATGCCAGGGCTCATTCTACAGGACCAGGGCATTGTATTGAGAAGAAATTTATTATTTCTATACATGTTTTGGCTGTCAAATTTCCATAATGCCCCTTTAACCGTCTGGAGGCAGGCGTTTCAGATTCGCAATGTTGAAACCTACCAACCTGGTTACTCCACATGCGTATTTCATGAGCAGTTTTTAACTCAGAAGTACCCTGAAGGACTTAGTTGTTCGTCCTTTTATCGAAACTTGTTTAGAGCCTGAGTGGGTTAAACCAGATGATTTGTCTTTTAAAGGAACGGTTTGACATATTTTGAAAGTAGCAGCGTATCGTCCCAAACACAAGCTTTACAGCTTGGAAATGACTGGACATGCATGTGTGGGTGTTTAAACTCTGCCCACTCGTGGCACCAGAGGCAGTTAAACTAAATGACATCCCAGACATGCCTCAGAGCTCCTTCTTGTTTTCAGCTCTGAAATTATGCCCACTGTCAGATGGAAATGAACAACCGCAGTGTGCTGCAGCTCTGTGCCTTTCTTTGTGCCTTTCGGAACATCATTTTCATGGTGTGACTCACTCTGAAGTCCTCTGAGAAGTAGGAATCTGACTTTTTGGGCTAAAAGACATAAAAAACCAGGGACTTAATGACAGTCCTAACTCACCCTGTCCGTGAGAAGATGTTGTTGTGATCTGGCAGCTTGAGTCGACTCTCCTGCTGCCGTTTGTGCTTCTGCCCAACACCAATGTTTGGCCCAAACTGGCTAAGTGACTTTAGCGGCTGTGCGGTTTCTCTTTCTGCTGAGTCCAGTGGTGAAATCACTTCTAGTGCTTTATTATGAGTGTCAGCACATAGCGGCATATCTTTTAAGAACTGGGACATGAACACACCAAACCAACACTTTTCTGTGCCCTGATGCTGAAAATGTTGACTTTAAAATATTTTGTGTACTGAGAGCATGACCCAAGACCAATCCGACCTTAGGTCTCTGGACTGAAGCATTTGTCAAATGTAGTTAGATAAGCGTTTGGCAGGAGCTTCAGTATGAATCTTTGAACTGCTGCACTGATACTTGGTACTTAACATCTGATTTGTTGCAGCAAAAACTGCTACAGGCAAAAAAAAAGTGATGCAGAATCCCAAATCTGTCGTAGCACTGCAACAGTTAATGCAGCACGAACCAGGATCAATAACACGTGGAGAATATTACGGGTTTGGCCAAGATAGTTATACTGTTAGTCATTTCCCAGCCGGATTGAGGAGGCTGACTTGCATGACTTCAGTTCTGTGAAAAAGCTGAAGGAAGGATGTTTGTTTTTCTTAAAGATCCAGATAAAGGGGCGATGATGACAGAGGAGATACGTGCCCACCCTGTAATCGGAGGGTTGAGCTGCTGGTAGTGGTCTGAGGGACCACTGGTGCCGATGCTCGATGACTCGCCTGTCAGTGCGCTCGGGGCAGCCGTGGCTACGTTGTACCTGATCACCACCGTGGTGTGAATGTGTGTGTGAGTGGGTGGGTGACTGTCACCTTGTAGAACCCTAAAAGAACTATTTCAAGGTCATTTGCCTTTTTTTTTTCTTCTGTAGAGCAGAGGTGACCATGTCTAACTTCTGGTTCTGTTAAAGTAAAACTGAGTCAGACGCTCCATCTGTTTGATGCAAGCTTCAGATAGCTGTTCCAACTTGAACGAGTGTGTGAGTGGAGTCCTGGTTGAGTTGAGTGAGTGAACGCAGCATGTTGAGGGAGGAATTCCACGCCGTCCTCTCCAAACCTCCTTCCTTTGATTGGGATGCTCTTCATTTCATCCCTGGCCATTTGTAGTAGCATTGTCTCAGTGAGGGGGAAGCCGGTCCCTGGATAAACGCTGGGTGGAAATGCCTTTGGCATTGCACAGAAATGGAGCAAATTGTCAACACTTGGAATTGCCCGAGCATTATATCTAATGGGACTCTATATTTAGAGAATGTGGAGCATTAGTGTAATCCCAAAAGCAGCAGGTGGAGGTCTGGGCCTCTAAAACCTTTGTGAGGCTGCTCTGATAGAGCAACGATCTCATCAGTGTTGGAGCTCACTTTGCATATTTAAAGATATTTCTGTCTGCTTTTCCAAATGTCGATGCTGAACGTAGGGAGTTGAAGTCATCCCACCTACATCCATCAGGAATCTTGTTAGTTCTCATGGACACACCGACAGGATTGTAGTTGGGATATACGTTGTTTAATATCATTGGTATTATCGATCATCAGAACTGATCTTTCACAATCACTGCTGACTATATTTTTTCTCATTAGAGACTCTGCCCATTATGAATCGAACCTACTCGAGTGGGACCTGACACGGGGCTGTCGGGGCTGTGATCTGAGACTTCATATCAGATAATTGACCTGCCGCCGTTCTCTTCAAAGGGAGAAGCTGAGAGGGTGGTGGTGTCTGCTTATGTCTGCTTATGTCTGCTTATGTTGGGGAGGGGAGGCGGCAGACCTGACAGAGTGGACAGCCAGAGAGCTTCCATCAGTTTCTAACTGTGACTCTGTGATCATCTGGCTCTGTTG